CGGCGTATAATCTTTTATGGATGATGGACATTTAATTTCAACAATAGAATCATAACTTATCAAAYCATCTGGACTAGCAGCCAAAAAAGGCAAATCATTATCAACAAAGAGCCCACACACACACACACCAACCACATCGCTATCCTTCGTATCGCGTCTGGGCTCTCCGCGGCGCAGTGGCCGTCGTCTCCATCATCTCGATGCGTCGCCGCCGCCCGAACGCCACGTCGTCGTCACATCTCGTTACCGTCAACGCTCTAAGGAGTCGGGACACTAATGGCCCGCAAGACTCAGTGACGCGACGGAAAATTGTCGTCTTGACGATGAACCGGCCGCGGCATCCCGTCGCCGTTCGGGAATCGGTACTATATATATTATATACATTAGGTTAGGTACGCACCCCCAACCCCTGCGTATATTACACGTGCACCACCTTTTCCGGCCATCCTGCTGCAGGGTGTTTCCACTGGCAGGATCATTTATTTTATTTATACTARGCATTTATACCGCGCACACGTATATATAATATGATATTAAATATATGTGTGTGGGAACAAGGAGAATGGAGAAAAAAATTCGGCCAGAAGAAATCCCCGAACCATTAATCTTCATATTTACGTAAAAGTTTACACCGCGAGATTCCATTGCGTTCAATCACTTTATGATTGAAAAAGTTTCGTATTTTTATTTTTCAACGGCTAATTTTTCACTTTTCTCCTTTTTTTTTTTTGTCATAACTATTATTACTTTCGGAGACGAAATTGCCCCCTGAAAAATACCGCCCAATCCGCCCCCTTTACCAGCCTCCTGCACCCTCCAACCAGTTGGTGTACCGCGTTTTTTCAATAAATTTAAAATTTTCCCTAAAACATTTATTATATACAGCAGTGGGGCGTTTTTCATTTTACCCTTAAATGTATGAACATATATAATCACTTTTTCCCTTTGTATATTTATTATCAACTCTCGGGTTTTGTTTACATCATGAAAATATATTATGATTCTAGAGTAATTGAATCATCGATAAATTTTACTGTATAAAACCGAGGTTATATTTTTACATCTTTTTATGGTTTAATGTGTGGTTCACCGAATACATATTTCTGTTTTTATACTACCGCGTATTTATTCCAAGATAATTGAAAAAAATATTTTCAAAACTATACGATATAGAAATACGTAGGTACTAACAATAATTTATAGCTTAAGTTTGTTCACAACATAAAATAATGTCTACCTATTATATGATGAGTCTATATTATCAATTAGAACAACATATAACAGATATTTTGAAATTTTGTACGCAAATCGGTGTGTAAAAATATACGATATTGTAGTATTATAYGGATACGGGATACCTGCTGATATTTTGTGTTTTCTTGGTACAATGTGCTACGTGACATAAATAACTGGGCGGCGTTAAATTACAAAATAGCATTTGGTTGAAACGTGACCGTTGGCGGTGGAGACGGTGTATGATAATGTATAATCTCGCAGACGGAAGTGACGAAACTGAACGCCGCCGCCRCGGTTGTGGGAAAACGACGCACGACATGATTGCGGGGCAATCTTATACATTGAAACCACTTAAAATATAATATGGGAAGGAAAATAATTTCAATTTGCCCCAAGTCCCTGACGGCGGAAATGTTCCYAATAAAAGTTGTTCGCCGAGTCTGAAAATGACGTACGCCCGAAGTTTTCCCGGTAACAAATTCATCCCGCGCGGCCTATAAAACAATTAGCCAAAGGTATAATGGAAAACGCATTAAGTATACCTCTTTCGGGGGACTACCAATCGTCGTACATACTTATTGTATATATATGTTTAAAATATCTTACGTATTATTTAGTGTACGCAGCACAATGTGTGTTTATATCGTTTTCTAATTTAACGTATTATAGTTGACCTCGATCCCGAAACACGGGCTGCAAGCCGGTCCCGTCCGAAATGGAAATAAGACTACAACGCACAACGATAATAATATATATATACATATATACAATTGTATTTTAATTAAAATCTGAGATAATTTACACGGAACATGTTCATGTATATTTATGTATATACGTATATTATATTGTTATATCCTCGCGAAATGCGATTTTCTTACTGTTCGGATAGGTCGTGATGCCATAGGGCATAGATTTTTGTTTCATATACGACCGATTTTCATTTTGTAATACTACTACAATATTGTACAATAATCCTGCAACAATTTTCGATACTGCGTGATTATTTTAACAATGTTCCCCCGGAACAATAGAGTGCACGTGTTACGTAATTCCGCTCAAAACCACAGCAGGGATTCGTATAATATTAAATATATATCTCGGTGAAAATATTGCATTAAAAATAATTTTGATGTTTCGTCTTATGGTGGGCGTGTTAAATGANCTGCACACGAAATAAAACCCATATGAAAATACAGCTTTCTCATTGGTTCTACATTTGGCGGGATAAAATATTTAAAATATTTATTATTATTATCATTATTTTTTTKATTCTAATTTAATCTAATTTATTACTATGTATGTATATTGTATCTAATTAGTATGTATGCTATTTTTTTTTGTTACTGTATATTATTAAAAAGTCGTATTAAACAAAAGATCCAAACAAATTGACTTCAATTTATTTTTTAATAAAACTGCTTCGTATTGTTGTTATTTTTTACGTCTGACAAGTAACTGACGATAGTTTTAAAATATAGTAATGCGTGAAAGCTGCGACCAATGAATCAAATATAAACCTGTACAGGATTAAAACCACCATAAATCTATGCTTTATATTAGGTATAAAAAAAAAAAATAACTTTACCTATATCAATACAGAGGCGTGTCCAGTTGGTATAAGCCTAGTATTCCCGGTCCTAAGCTGATTTTGAACCCTTATATTATAATGTACCCAAATATGAATTTTTAAATTAAAAACAAGAAGTTATATAMATTTTTTTTAACTTTAATTTTAACTTAACTTACTCAAATCAATTGTTTTAATTAATTTGTCTGCTTTTTTCAAAATTTACAAAATAATTCAAAGAAATGCGCACATACTAATTTAATATTAATCATTGATTCTTAATTTTTTTTAATTATTATTATTATTATTAGGTATTTAAAGTTTTCCTGACATTCATCATCTAAACTTATGGATGTATAGAATTAAATTTTTTAACATTTTATWAATCAGATCACAATATGGTATAAGTATAAGAACTGTGGATTTAAAAATATGTACAAAAGAATAAATAATTTTACATTACGAAACAATTTAACAATCATACAAAATTATTAAATTTAAATTAATATTATATATTATATAATTGATTCATAATAACTAGCAACAATTTAATTTACACAGTATAACAATAAATATTCCTTCTAATTTGACTGTTAATATAATATAATAATAAGTCTTGTAATAAATAATTAACAAAACTTGTCAGCCTTTAAACATTGAAAACTGAATGTGAAAACATCTGCATATTGCATCCGTATGACCGTTTATTGATAATATTACATTTATTTTACTGTGATTTATAATCTATTTAGAAATAAAATTAATAAACGTAAGATAAATCAGCGATCATCAAGCACTTCTAGGAAAAACATGCATCCGTGTACCATCAACAACCATATTATATAATTAAAAAAAAAAAATTAATTACGTTTATATTAATTATTAGTATTATATGATGACTGTACATTTAAACATTTTTTATTAAAATTCCATTAAAAAAATTCTTATAGTATTATACATTTTTTTCTTATAACCGAACTTATCTTGAATTTCTATCCTGGATACGCCTCTGATAATAAATATAAATATAAATCGATAATCTCATAATTATATTTTTTCGAAAATAAAACGGACAGTCCTATATAAAATGTATAAAATTAATATATTCCCATATTTTCCTTCGACAGTATATTTAATTATCTAGATAAAACGTTATATTTTCACTCATATTAATTCATTATTTAAAAAAAAAAAAAAATCTACTCTATATAATAGTATCCGTTTGCTATTTTTTTTTATACTTTTAATATTGGTTTCATGAAAACTATCGTACATCAACGGAACACGATGAGTATATAATAATTATAAACAATAGCTGAAAATAAAAATAAAAAAATCTCTGTCTAATATCTCGGAATAYAAAGTCAGTGAAACGGACTTTCGGAACTTCTTTATTGTCATCGGAAGTCGCGATGGCATTGTGTAAAACGAACTTTGAATTTTTCACCGAGAAAACTATGACTGTCGTGCCGCCCCGGACGTATATAATAAGTGTCTGATATGGTAATACACGCGACGTATATAAAGAATATTATTATACAATGTATGGAGGAATGACAGTTCTGTCTGTTACTCCTCCGCCTACGCGTACTCGTCGTTGCCGCGATCTTCTAGTCCATTTGCTGTTTTCATAATATTCCGTATATATACAATCAAGACAGCAACGATATAAAACCGGCGTTTGTAGCATTACGAGACGACCAAGACGGTTCCTCCCCAATCGGCGGTGACTTACATACATTATAAATACATATTATTCACATCAACATAATATAAATTATTTATAAGAGTTCGGAATGTGTCTGAGGGTGGCGGAGCTGCGGTATATACCTATATAGTGTATACACGAGATGTATATAGTATATCGTCAGAGATGAGGCACAAACAATAAAAACAGTGATCTCATTAAAACTTTTCAATAATAATATTATTATTATCTATCTCCACTTAGTGTGTCGGCCACAAACAGCCCAATGGATTATATGGTTGGCATGTGCAATAACGCACGCAGTCTGTTCCAAAGTTTCCGCCATTCCGGAACATTACGCTTGGCCGCAAAAGTTTATCCGCTCCCCCGCCCTCTTACCACGTACTCAAACACACATATGTATATGTATATATAAACTTATACCGTGGTTATTGTCTATACACACATACACGTGACAGAGTGGCAAGATAATACCATCACCATCATATACATGTACGGAGCCATATCGTCGCCGCGTCTGTTGCCATACAATTGTCACACACATAGACACACACACACACACACACACACGATTATGTACATATTTGCACCCGCGTCACCGCAGTGCCCCTCCTCGCCCCTCATCATAAGACCAGCCGCACATCAGTTGTAATAATGACACGATAATGCATGAACATGATATTATATTATTATGTATATAGACTACCACGACGACCACTAACACGAGGTTTTCTTTTTACAGCTCCAGCGCCCAAAGGTCGCGAGTGCCCGTTCCTGGGCCGTTACGAGATTAGCGGCGGACTGAACGCCGAAGACGTGGGCAAAGCGCTGGCCGCCAGCCGGCCCGGCAGCGAGAATAACCAAGACAAACCATCGATACCGTGCAACCCACCCGGCAAACAGTACCTGACCATCGGCTGCAATTCGCCGGACACCATGGAGTTCCAGTCAGAGTGCGGTACCAAGACCGTGGCCGGTAAGCGAACAGACGACCTGATGTCCAACCGCATAATATTGAAACATTATAACATATGGCAGAAGTTCCCAAACTGTGCGGGTCGCAATTGTGTTTTTAGTGGGTCGAGTAAAATTTTTAAATAACACATTTTTAGACATGTGTTTAAACGATACGATACACGCACGCGCAGTTTAAATCTTCCTTTTATAAAGACAATATGTGTGTCGACGAAAAAAATAAAATAAATTCATGATGAGCCTAATTAAAAACAAAAAGTCATCGATATTATTGTGAGCCGTCAAAATTTAAATAATTTCCAAAATTCCAGAGATGAGTCGTAATTCAAGTTTGGGAACCTCTGTTATATGATGGTATATATGGTGCACCCGCAGCCGAACGTGATGGTTATCGTGTGTTCAATCCTTGCAGGTCTCCCGTGGTGGTCTCACTCTCTCTCTCTCTCTCTGCACTTCCTCCCCTTTGCGAAGGGGGCGGGAGGGGAGAGCTTCGCACCCAATCAACTAGTCTACCACGGGTGTATATATTACAACACCTACGTAGAATAATAGGTATACGACGGCACGTTTTTGTGTGTACCGCAACTATTATGGATTACGCGCGATGCCATAACAATAAACTATAATATGACTACCTACGTACATCATCTAACGATTTCAATAATCCCAGTTGCATCTATTTTATGTTTATTATTAATATTCGCGTTGGAATCCCGCGACTTATTCGGGGATTTTTTTTAAAGGATATATAGGGATGGGATTATTCGATCCCACCACCGACCCCCCCCCCCCCCCAATTACCTACGTCGTATAACCCTACTCGTACGAGGAACACGCTCGTCTATATTACACTGCGCAGTTATTCCTATGCCTTCTCATATCATACATAATATATATTATGCTCTATATAATACATATACATATATATATACACACAACACACGAACCCTATTGTTGCCGTGTTTCGTGTTGCGTGCGTAAAATATACAAATAGATATATTTGCCGCGTGTACATTTTTTTAAACATATATATATACCTACTAAACTGGTGCACGTCTCGGTTTTTTTTTTATTATTATTTTGCAGCGTACACGTGCTACGGACACTGGAAGAACGAAAATACCGGTGTCAACTACGTGATATCCACGCCACAGGGACGATCGGCTACCAATTCCAGACGATACTGTTTCATCATGTCACAAGTGAACGGAATGGCTCAGCAAACGTTGCACATCGCCTCGGTGATGGAATCGTGCCATCCGCACCCGCTTGGCCGGCTACATTGGGCGTTTAACATAACGCATCAAGGTATATGAATATTGTGAACATCCGATGTTCTCGTTTTGAAAAAAATTCTAATTTTGTTTTGCCGCAGCGCAAAAATGCAGTGCCATTTCGTGTGCTTGAAGGGAGGGGGGAGGGAGAAGACCAATGATCTGAAGGCGGCAGTGATTTTTCCAAGTCTCACGACTTTATTAAAAATAACATAATGATCCCTATAAATAAAAAAATATACCGACATAATAAAATGTATTTATTTAATTTTTTTTTCTTGTGGATGTGATATACTTTACAAACATCCATTGTTTAAATTTTTAATACAAAGACTTAAAATTAATAAGCATATACATTTTAGGTACAAAGAGTGATGATTATTACTTTTTTTTTTTTTGAGATTAGTAAGCGTTCTGCGTGGTATATAATAGTTTATTTTTTAAGGAAAATACAAAGACTAAAAACTACGTGTTTAATTAAATGAATGGAACTCATCTGTGAACCGATTTACAATATTTTAATATCATAATACATACTATATAATTATTACAATATGATAATTATACATGACGTCCACCGCTGACGGTTATACTCTCAATGACAATATAACACTGCATAATCATGATCATTAGTTTATTGTTTAATTATACATCTCCGTTATTGTGTCGTTGAGTGTGCACGCGCGTTACGGAGACGACTTCTGTTTTCTTTCTGACGACCTACCAATAAAAATTTAGATTGCATAATATTAATATTACATAATGGAGCTGGCAATAGGTAGTGGGTGTTGTTAATGACAAAACTAAAAATGTTCCGGAACGGTAATAACAATAATACTGTTGAAGTGGACGTTGTGTGAATGAATTATAATAATATATACCTTTATGCATCGAAAACGTACAGTAGCGTTTGATCAAGGGTTCGTGTGTGTGTGTGTGGTGGGAGGACAATTGTGTGCGATAAAAAACAAAAATCGGCTTGAAGATTTTGGAAATAAAACAATTGACGACGAGAAACGGGTGGTGTTGACGTTTGCCGGATGCTCGTGATTTAAGTGGACGTGTGTTTATGTGTGTGCCCGATCCCGCTTGAATGGTATATGTTTCCGGCCGACCGGAATTGGTTTTAATTGATATTCCTTGTGACATTATATGGTTACACAATAGGTACTCATCATGTGCGACAAATGACAATAATGAATTAATTTTTTTAATTTTCGTCCCCATCAGGTCTGTGCAGTTCCGAATCTAGCAGCGCCATCGTTTCCGGGTTACCGGTCCTAGTCCTATTTGCTGCCCTGCTGGCCGCCATTGTCAATCGCCGGTGATCATCGTCGTCGTCAGCAGTCGTGTCGGCCGGCCGGCCGCTAGACATTTAGAGGAGTCTCGCGCCAATATTAAAAAGAAAACCAAGACCACATCGCTAAAAAAAAAAAAATATATATATTAATATAATCGGGCGGTCCCCCCGTGTATACATATTATTATTATTATTATTATTATTATTATATAGGTGTTAGGGATCGCTTTTGTTTATTTAATTGTTTACAATATTTTTTTTTTTAAACCGACTTTATTGTGATCGTATTTTTACTATTATTATTAATATTATTATTTTATGTTACTCCCAAAGCCAACCTTCTTTTTCTCCCTCTTTCTTTGTGTTTTTTTTTTTTTTATTTCATTATCAATCTCTCTCTATAATCTTTATTATGTTATGTTATGTTATTATTATTATTGTACTTGTAAATTTGTTTTTTAATCGATGGTGCAGAGTCGTTTGCGTTAGTTTCGATGTTTATATTATCGTAAGCGAATCCGCATACGTTTGCTAGGAATGATTATAATATTATAATATATACCATGATGGTTATATATTTATATTTATTTTTTATTTTTCAATAATTGTAAATATCGAGAATTGTAAATTTTTTATTATTATAATTATTATTATTATTATTATTATCGAATTTTAATACGACATCAAATCCGTGTCCGTGTAAATTCGACTCACATATACCACACACGCCTGCTTACCAAATTATCTTTTTTATTATACTATATTAAGATTTTAATTTTAGCGCTGAATGTGTACAAAATCGATTCTATGTATTCGTGCAGGTCCTATATGTTCGTTTTGTTTTTTTAGACATAATTCTTACCTTTTAAACGAAATATTATTGTATACGTATACATATAATACGAGAAGAAGATGCTTTATATATATATACATTATAAATATATTATATATATATATATATTGTACATGCTCCATGTGATAAAATGTGGTAAGGACATATCATAATATTGTCCTGATTCACTTTTCTTCGTCACCCACAGCTGATAAGTTTTATTTTTATTCTACTGAGCGAGTCGCACGCTGCGAGCTTTGATCGTCTGGAACGATATCGGATCGATACAATGATTAACTTATATTATCGTTTGTTTAAATTTTATTATTATAATTTTTTGTATTTGGGAACACTCGACTCGCTCCGTATGATAACTATTTTTGAATGTTCGTTATTGCCTATATTTAAAGAAAAAAATGTTATATATAAATAATAATAAAAAAAAATTAATAATAAAAGTACACGACTATCTTAATGTGTATAGCTTTATTTTTTATTAAATAAATTATTGTTCATTTTATTAATTTTAAATATTATAATGTTAGTAAATATATTATTATTATTATTATTTTTTTTTTCGGTAATTGAAATTGATGTATAAAAAAAAACTATAAAGGGCCAAATAAAAATGGTGTCTCATATTATTGCGAAAATCATTATTGAATACTACCCAACGTTATACATAATAATATAGTATTATATAGTTACCATCATCTATTCCATAATACGTTTTCCTCGACGTCCCATAACCAAACCTGCAGCAAACGCCAATCGTTATGATATSTGTAAGGTTCGTTCCTTCGCTTCGCTGTTCTTGCGTGGGCCGCAAAACCGGTCAAAGGCATTTTTAAAAATAATTATCGTATACATAAGCGTATGAGGTATTTAGACGAGTGCCCCATAAGTGCACCGTACGTTCGACATATTATTATATTTATATTGATATGGCCCGTCACATCGATACGACCCGACTGATCGCCGATTCGCGTGTTAAGCATAATATATACGCTTACTGATTGCGTTTTTTTGTTTTTTGTTTTTTTTTTACTCCGCATCGTTCACCCGCAGACATAATAATGTACTCTAAACGTCTGTACATCGTTTCATTCCGACCGTATAGATATCTATAGGTATAATAGTGATGTCGTCCCCAGGGATGGCCTCCGTTGGTTGGTCCGAATTTTCCGACCCGACTGCGGATGACCATAATGTTATGCCACTGGCGTTTTTCGAATCCCCTGCGGGCGGCGCCGCGCGCGCGACTGTGAAAAAATAAAAACCGATGACCGTGTTTTTTCGGGATTTACACGAATTTTTAAATTAAAAGTTTTTTTTTTGTCCCCGAAAACCGTATTAGGTATATTGCATTCGTGTGCGGACTGCACTGCGGAAAAGAGCACGTCAATTCAATTTAATCGCGACCGATTCGATATTATTACATTATTCACCACACCWTATATATACCCACACGGCTGTACCTAYATGTATATACATAATACGTGGCGTGTTTTTATTATGTTACGAACCACATCGACGGCGATGTACCCCCATATGCGCGAGCAGTGCTTTTGTATGGGTAAYATAAATTATAAAATAACGTGTACAATAATATGACAGAGCTCGTAACCGGTAATTAATACCGGTAACAACCGCGGTTAAAACGATAAACCGTCACATGAAAAGCAAAAACAAAAAATGATATTTGAAATCGAAATGAAAAACGTGGTAATAATAATAAATATAGGTACCTCTACCCTTACCTATTTGAAATCGAAAAAAACAATTCGGTTTCAAGCAGCCTTGCTTAATATGATTAGGATTCTTGTAAACTTGTAACATATTTATATACTTTTATACTATTCTTATATATTCTTATTTTATCCTCATATTATATAGTAGGCATAACGCTCAGTGCATTGCGGCCATTTCGAAATATAATATGACAATTTCCACCTCAAAAATAACTAGTAGCATCATAACCCGTCTCATAACGTAACTTTTAACCCGCATATATACCAACGTTTAAAGTGTACCTATTTTAATTTTTGTGGTAGAGGGTGTCAATCATTTGGGCGAATAACCCAAAATTTACCCGAGTAAAGCATATATAATTTGGGCGAGATATTGACTGATCGTTTAGGCGAATTAATAAATTATTGAATAATAGGGAAGTGACAAACCTACGTCTTCAATACTTTTTATAATGTTTACCTACTACAGCTAAATATTATTATTATATCGTTTCGGCTGTTTGGTATTTATACGCCAATTTACAAATATGGACGGCGAATGAAAATTTGTTAGATTGTACTATAGGACGCGTGGGTTTTCATTTTTTGCCCGTGTCTAATCTAATCAGATACTGAAGTGTGACATTTATTAATTAAAATTTAGTTCATGTAGTAAATATTATGATGATATAATGTATTTTTAACCATACGAGTTAACAACTAAGAGTCCTAAAAACGGGAAGGAAAACCTATTAATCTACATAAATGTTTAAAAATACATATATATTTACAGCTCGCCCAAACGATGTATTAGGTAAATTAGGGGTCTTTGTAAATTTCGCCCAAATTATATTGTATAAATTCGCGCAAACGATATGTTATTTTGGGTCATTCGCCCAAATGAAAGCCCCCTGTGGTAGACATAACACGGAGGGGTATTATTCTACTAATCTATTATTATACGATATTGAATATCTATGTCTTTATGTTCTTTTTCAAAACTATCTACGT